GGGTGGGACGGTCCCTGGGTGGGTGGGATGGTCTCTGGGTGGCTGAGATGGTCTCTGGGTGGGTGGGAGGGTCCCTGGGTGCTGGGTGGGTGGCTGGGAGGGTCCCTGGGTGGCTGGGAGGGTCCCTGGGTGGCTGGGACGGTCCCTGGGTGGCTGGGACGGTCCCTGGGTGCTGCTGGGTGGATCCAGGGTGGCTCTCCCGAGGCTCAGCGCTGTTTCCTGGGTGTTTTCCTGCTGCTCTGGCCGGGCAGAGCAGGGAACAGCCCTGTGAGCTCAGTGCCGTCCCCACAGGTGAGGGCTCGGTGCCAGCACCTGCCCGTGAGGGAGGAGACCCTGCACAGGGTCAGTCTGTACATCAGCACCGTCATCGGCTCGCTGCCCGAGGACCTGCAGGCCGTGCTGCAGCACCCCTGAGCACCCCTGGGTGCCCAGAGCATCACTGGGAGCCCAGAGCACCCCTGGGAGCCCAGAGCATCACTGGGTGCCCAGAGCATCACTGGGTGCCCTGAGCACCCCTGGGAGCCCTGAGCCAGCTCCTGCAACACCCCTGGGTGCCCAGAGCCTGCTCCTGCAGCACCCCTGAGCACCCCTGGGTGCCCAGAGCATCCCTGGGAGCCCTGAGCACCCCTGGGAGCCCAGAGCATCCCTGGGAGCCCAGAGCACCCCTGGGTGCCCAGAGCACCCCTGGGTGCCCAGAGCATCCCTGGGAGCCCAGAGCATCACTGGGAGCCCAGAGCATCACTGGGAGCCCAGAGCACCCCTGGGAGCCCAGAGCACCCCTGGGTGCCCAGAGCCAGGTCCTGCAGCATCCCTGGGTGCCCAGAGCATCACTGGGAGCCCAGAGCACCCCTGGGTGCCCAGAGCCTGCTCCTGCTCCTGCCCCACGACCCCCGAGGGGGACCCGGGGCCAACGCTTCACCCTCGTCCCGCTGGGATCCACCCCGGAGCTGAACTGAGGAGGAGGAGGAGGAGGAGGAAGATGAGGAGGAGGAAGATGAGGAGGAGGAGGAGGAGGAGGAGGAGGTGGTGGAGGTGACGTTGCCATCCCTTTCCCTGGATGGCCGCTGGGAGCTGGAATTGCTGGACATGGAAATGGGAATCACTGGACATGGAATGCTGCTCTCAGAGCAGGAATCACTGGACATGGAAATGGGAATCACTGGACATGGAAATGGGAATCACTGGACATGGAATGCTGCTCTCAGAGCAGGAATCACTGGACATGGAAATGGGAATCACTGGACATGGAAATGGGAATCACTGGACATGGAATGCTGCTCTGGGAGCTGGAATCGCTGGACATTGAAGTGGGAATCGCTGGACATTGAAGTGGGAATCACTGGACATGGAAATGGGAATCACTGGACATGGAAATGGGAATCACTGGACATGGAAATGGGAATCACTGGACATGGAAATGGGAATCACTGGACATGGAATGCTGCTCCGTTTCTCCAGGGCTGGAGCATCCGCAGGGATCGGAGCTCCCGGAGTGCCCGGGAGCCCCAAATCCCAAATTTCTTCCACTTGAACGCCCAGCCCGAGCTCCAGGGACAGGCGGGGCTGGGGCTGTGCCCGAGGCACTTCCCAATAAAACCTGGAGAAGCCGATTCCTGCAGCTGGAATGGCCAGGAACAGACCCTGCTGCTCTGGCCCTGCCTCCCGAGGCTGCTCCTGGGCCTGGGATCCCCCTCCTGCCTTGGTGCTGGGACCAAGGAATTCCTGGGACCAAGGATTCCCTGGGACCAAGGATTTCCTGGGACCAAGGAATTCCTGGGACCAAGGATTTGCTGGGACCAGGGATTTGCTGGGACCAGGGATTTGCTGGGACCAAGGAATTCCTGGGACCAAGGATTCCCTGGGACCAGGGATTTGCTGGGACCAAGGATTTCCTGGGACCAAGGATTTCCTGGGACCAGGGATTTGCTGGGACCAGAGCTGCATTGCACCACCAGGGATTCCCTCCCAGCACGGAATTTTAGCCTAAAGAAAGGCTTTGGGAGGGATGTGGCTGCCCAGAAGGGTTGGACCCAGCGCCTCTGCTCCTGCTGGGATTGTTGGATTGTTCCTGCCCAGTGCTCCCAGTGCTCCCAAACTTCGCCCTTCCCATCACTCCCTGCCCGTTCTCAGGGCTGGGGAGGAGCTGGGGGCTCAGAGGGAGCTGAATTCTCCCTGAATTTCCCCTCTGGAGCCAGGCAGGAGCAGCAGGAGGCTCTGGGTGTCCCTGGCCCTGCTGGAGGAAGGAATTCCGAGCGATATCCCTCGGGATGAACTCTGCACACACCAGGCCCCAAACCCCCCTGTGAGCTGGGAAATCTGAGTTAAAAAACCCCTGGAGCCAAACTGGGATGTGCTTTGGAGGCTGGGGAGGTTTATTGGCTTGGGGGGGTTTGTCCCTGCTCGTGGTCACTCGTGGCCACCCCGGTTTTCCAGAAGGTTCCCAGAGTCCAGCCCAGCACCTGTGGGTGCTCTGTGTCCCTCTGTCCTTCCCAAGGCTCGGAATCCGGGGGCATTTGGGTGGAAAAACCTTGGAGCCCACGGAGTGCCAGCAGTGCCAGGCCAGCCCTGCTGGTGTCCCCACGTGCCACATCCCAGGGCTTTGAGATCCCTCCTGGAATTCTCCTCAGGGATGCATTTCCACCTTTGCATTCCTCCCAAGGAGGCTGGACCCCATCTCCTGCAACTCCGATATCCCAGAATCCCGGGATGGTTTGGGATAGAAGGGACCCCCGAGCCCCCCCAGTGCCCCCCTGCCATGGCAGGGACACCTCCCACTGGCCCAGGCTGCTCCCAGCCCCAGGCTCCAGCCTGGCCTTGGCCACTGCCAGGGATCCAGGGGCAGCCACAGCTGCTCTGGCAATTCCAGCCCAGCCAGCAATTCCCAATTCCCAATTCCCAACATCCAGCCCTGTCCTCTGGCACTGGGAGCCATTCCCTGGCTCCTGGCCCTGCAGCCCTGTCCCAGTCCCTCTGCAGCTCTCCTGGAGCCCCTTCAGGCCCTGGAACGTTCTGGAAGCTCTCCCTGGACCCTTCTCCTCTCCAGGGGAACATTCCCAGCTCTCCTGGAGCCCCTTCAGGCCCTGGAACGTTCTGGAAGCTCTCCCTGGACCCTTCTCCTCTCCAGGGGAACATTCCCAGCTCTCCTGGAGCCCCTTCAGGCCCTGGAACGTTCTGGAAGCTCTCCCTGGACCCTTCTCCTCTCCAGGGGAACATTCCCAGCTCTCCCGGTCTGTCTCCACAGGAGATTTCCATGGACTGAGGACCTGCCCCGGAGTGTTTTTGGTTTCCTGCTGTTGAAACCGCCGAGGTCTCGGCTTTGCCTGGGGCACCCTCCCGGCAGGAGCCAGGGCTGAAGCTGCCGGCCTCGGGAAGCTGCGGAGCGGAGATCTCCGGGCTGGGGGAGCTCCGTGCGCTCAGAGCCCCCGGGGCTCCGCTCCAGAGCCCGGCTGTGCCCGGGCTGAGCCTGGCGAGCTCCGGGCTGTGCCTGGCGAGCTCCGGGCTGTGCCTGGCGAGCTCCGGGCTGAGCCTGGCGAGCTCCGGGCTGAGCCCGGCGAGCTCCGGGCTGGGGGAGTTCCGTGCACTCAGAGCCCCCGGGGCTCCGCTCCAGAGCCCGGCTGAGCCTGGCGAGCTCCGGGCCGCTGCTACTCGCCCATATTTGGGAAGGTTGGCGCTGGGTCCGCTGCTCATCTCCCCAGCAACCCCGCAAACACAACACGGCCCGAGCTCCCCGGCTATAATTAACGCAGGAGCCGTGCCCGTGCTCCGCAGCGCCGGGAGCTCCGTTCCCGCAGCCCCGGGACCTTGCGGAGTGCCGGGGAACGGGGGCTGCTCCTCGGGATCTTCGGCCACTCGCAGCCGCGGGGCTCGGACCCGCTCACTCGGCCCAAAAAGCAGCCGGAGAGAAACGCCCGGGCTCGGAAAAGCTCCCGGAGCAGCGCTGGGTGCTCGGGAGGGGCTGCGGGAGAAGGGAGGAAGGAGAAGGGAGGAAGGAGAAGGGAGGGAGAAGGGAGGAAGGAGAAGGGAGGAAGGAGAAGGGAGGAAGGAGAAGGGAGGAAGGAGAAGGGAGGAAGGAGAAGGGAGGAAGGAGAAGGGAGGAAGGAGAAGGGAGGAAGAAGAAGGGAGAAGGGAGGAAGGAGACGGGAGGAAGGAGACGGGAGGAAGAAGGGAAGGAGAAGGGAGGAAGGAGAAGGGAGGAAGGAGAAGGGAGGAGGGAGAAGGGAGGAAGGAGAAGGGAGGAAGGAGAAGGGAGGAAGGAGAAGGGAGGAAGGAGAAGGGAGGAAGGAGAAGGGAGGAAGGAGAAGGGAGGAAGAAGGGAGGAAGGAGAAGGGAGGAAGGAGAAGGGAGGAAGGAGAAGGGAGGAAGAAGAAGGGAGGAAGGAGAAGGGAGGAAGGAGAAGGGAGGAAGGAGAAGGGAGGAAGAAGGGAGGAAGGAGAAGGGAGGAAGAAGAAGGGAGGAAGGAGAAGGGAGGAAGAAGAAGGGAGGAAGGAGAAGGGAGGAGGGAGAAGGGAGGAAGGAGAAGGGAGGAAGGAGAAGGGAGGAAGGAGAAGGGAGGAAGGAGAAGGGAGGAAGGAGAAGGGAGGAAGGAGAAGGGAGGGAGAAGGGAGGAAGGAGAAGGGAGGAAGGAGAAGGGAGGAAGGAGAAGGGAGGAAGGAGAAGGGAGGAAGGAGAAGGGAGGAAGGAGAAGGGAGGAAGGAGAAGGGAGGAAGGAGAAGGGAGGAAGGAGAAGGGAGGAAGGAGAAGGGAGGAAGGAGAAGGGAGGAAGGAGAAGGGAGGAAGGAGAAGGGAGGAAGGAGAAGGGAGGAAGGAGAAGGGAGGAAGGAGAAGGGAGGAAGGAGAAGGGAGGAAGGAGAAGGGAGGAAGGAGAAGGGAGGAAGGAGAAGGGAGGAAGGAGAAGGGAGGAAGGAGAAGGGAGGAAGGAGAAGGGAGGAAGGCTCGTCCCCTCCTCCCTGCCCGGCCGCTCGCATTAATGTCGAGCTGGCGCTGGGAGATCCTGTTCCGATGCCTGCTGGAGGCACCAGATCACGCCTCAATCCTGAGCCAAGAATAGATCCCAGAATTCTTCATCATCCACAGCCTATTCTGGGCCTGCAGCCTCCCACCCAACGTGTGCCCGCTCCCGCTGGGAATCCTGCTGAGCCTCAGGGCCGGGAGCTCTGCAGGGGCTGCACGTTCTCAGAACCAGGGAATCCTGGCATGGTTTGGATCGAAGGGGTCCCTGATGCCACCTCTGCCACCCTGCCAGGGACAGGGACCTTCCGTGAGCCCAGGCTGCTGCCACTGTCCAGCCTGGCCCTGCCACAGCCCCTCGTGTTGGTGCTGAGGAGATCCCAGGAGCCGTTCCCAGTGGGATCCAGCAGCTGTTCCCAGTGGGATCCAGCAGCTGTTCCCAGT